CAGCAACAGAAACAAAGAACTAATAATAATAATATCAAATTTCTCCAGTTGCACTAATATCTCTCCATTGAAGCTCTGAGAATGAATAATGTCTTTAACACAGATGACATGCTACAAAGAGCCCTTCACAGGACTGCAATAAATATAGGTCTGGAAAGCTAAACTGGGACTTCCACATCTGATCACCAAGGTTAAACTAACTACTTCTTATGGCAGCCAAAAGGATATTACGCCCCTGAAAGCATGAAGTGACATTTATGTCTTAATCTTTCACCATAAATCACAATAAAATTAATTAAGTATGATCCTTGTAAGCAGGTATTAGAGATGGACGTTGTTCATTCAGGATAACATCTGCAGCCACTGAGGTATTTCAACATCTCAACTAATACAATAAAAGTCTAGTTATTTTAAGAGAGAATTTTCTAGAAAGACACCCCTAATGAATAGTTCAAAAAAAATCTAACTATAGCTACATGAAGCTACTTCCAAAGGGAAGACTGAGAAAGTCAAACAATGAGCAACTATAGAATTGGAAAAAAAAAAAGAAAAAGATCAAGAACAGTTAATGCGCTGAGTGAAAGCATCCAGAAACCATATGCCCCAAGATACTCATAATTAGAAGAGGGACTGCAATGTTCAAACCACAATGAAGTACAGGAGAACAAAAGCTACTATGGAGCCTCTCAAGAAGACCACCTTGCATAGCAAGAGTTAAAGGAATCAATCAGAATAAAGTGATGTACAGAATGTAATGCAAATATCTCTAACCTGTTTTAAATGCTGCAACTCCTCTTCTAACTCCTTAATCTTTTTGCTCTGTTTTGCATTAGTACTTTCATTTTCCTTCTCTTTCATTCTTAACTTCTTAATGATGTTGGAATTGTGCAGCTGCTGTTTTGAAAGTTTTTCTCCTTTAAAAGAAAAATGTATATGAAAATGAGCATTGGCATGACTTCCCATCATTCCTGGGAGTGCACAATTTGTTTTCTCTAAAGACTAACAGTATCACCAAGAAATATGATTTTACATCGACTCCATACTACCTACATGCTTACACTGTGCTATGTGAAAAATAATTAATGCAACTGATTCATAGACTTCATTAGTTTTTCTTTTCTATGACATTGGAATCATAGAACACTAGAACTGGAAGGGACCTCGAGAGGTCAACGAGTCCAGTTCCCTGCCCTCACAGCAGGACCAAGTATATAGTATTCCAATATTAAATTAACAATGAATCAGTGCTAAAGCTGCTCATTTTCTTCTCTCCCGATCACTTCAACCTGTAGTATTTTTACACTGCTATTGCACAAAATTATGCTGACAAAGTATGATGATATATAGCCACCACAGTAATTAAATCACTTGTGCATGGTCACACTAAACTTCCTGTGTCATCGGTGAACATCCTCACCAGTAGTGCTTGCACGGATTTAAATGTCAGGATGGAATGGCTTTTGAAAGGCAGAAATAGTCAATGTAAGCAATAGTGTCCACACTGTCAATGTATTGATCTAACTACTTCTACACTGACTCTACTCCTTTAAGATGGGGGGAGAGAAAGCAGGGGAATAGAGTTATTAAGTTAGGGTACTGGGTGAATTACATCAGCCTGAGCAACACTTTAGTGCAGACTCAGATCACCATTAAGTTGCCTTACGTCAACCTAAACAGACATTTTTCCTGAACATTGTTTCAGGATAGAGAATTTGACACCACCTTTTACAAATCTAATTTTCCTAATATAGACGAATGCACCTCATGCTATTGATCTAGTTTTGCTTATGACAGCACAAACCATGATATCTAGATGTTGAAGCCTAGTTGAATCCCCTGTCAATCGGAAAGTCGAGACAGGATGGAAATTCTTAAATTCTTCCATCAAATCTGGGGGTCATTTATGTTTAAAAAAGTATGGGTAAGAGTGAGAGTCATTGCTTAAACATTTCCCACATGTAGAAGATATATGAAATAAGATTTTTTTCATGTAAGGTTGAAAATAAGACAAAATGCATTAAAAGACACTTTTAAAAGATCTTTACTGTAACATCCAGGTTTACCAACTTTACCTTCTTGCATTAATCCTTTAATCTGTTCATCCTTCTCCCTCAATAGTTCAGCTGTTTCATTAGAATTTAGTCTAGTTGCCAATTCTTCTTTAACATTCTTTACCTCCTAAAAAAAATGAAATCCTCTTAGTACGATTTATAAATAATGTTAGCTTTTTAAAAAATACACATGATAAAGTTACATGAGCTTTTTATCCACGGGAGAATTAGAAATGGCCACACAGTTTCTAAGATTTCTAAACAAATACTTTCATTTGAAAACTCCTTGAAAACTACCAATGGAGGTGGATGGCTTCTCCAGCTGGCCAGGATACCGCCATGCTGCAGGGATGGTCCAGCCAGCCAGGGTTCCACGGCATCATGGGCAGGGAGCTATGCCCCCCTCCCAGCCCTTCAGTTAACCAGTTACCAGGTAAGCAAGTCGATAAGGCTAATGCTTACCAGATAACTGGTTAACCTTTTACATCCCTAGTCTCTACCTCATCCTGTTTTAAGCCTTTGTGATGTCAGGAAAACAAAAACAAAAAAACCCCCAACCAACCAAAACAAAACAAAACCACACCCAAACAAACCCACAGAGCTATTTCATTCATGGAAGTAAATATCAGATAATGTGGGATTTTACTTCCTCTTAAAGAATTACAACCCCCAATACACATTTAGAGGGCCACTGATAAACGTTTCAGATTATAATAAAGCACATTTTACAAACATTGTTTTAAGAATATTTTTCAACAATTTTACTGTTGAATTTACTTTTTGCACAATGACTATGCACACACCATCCTCATCAAAGTGTGCTAGTGTTTAAGCAGTGAATGTTACAAAGCCCTTTTGTCTTCTTTTTTACATAAAATCATGAAAACATCTCTATCAGGTCTTATAGAGTCTCTCCTCCTAAAACACCACAAACAATACTCCCCTCCTTCCCCCCAAGCCTTTATACTGATATCTAAGTTACTTAATAGTGGATCCTGTATATTTCTCAACCTCTATTTTTATGATTTGCTTCCAAGGGAGGCTGACACTTTTTAGCATTATAAATATTAGTTCAGCTAGAAAGTGGATTACCTTTTTAGCTGCATCCCTCTCTTTGCATGCTAGCTGGACCTTCTTTTCGGCATCTGCTATTCGCTGAGTAAATTCCTCTTTAAGAGATGAAATACTACTGCTCTCTTCTTTCACTCTAAACATTTCACTAGATTTAAGACATTTTAGAATAGTCCCATGGTTATGCTGACATTTCAAACTGCATTCACCAGGCTTTTACAATAAACTTTAACTAGCAAGACACAAAACATTGACGCTCATTAAAAACATGGGTCTTCAGAAGGTCTTCACCAATTTAGCTAGGTAGCATAACACAAAAGTTGACACATTAAGATTTTCATCTAAAAACACATCATCTACTAATCAAGCCCTGCTAATGAAAGGGTAAACATTCAGTACAAGAAGATTTACACTAAGTAAAAGACAACTGATAGCATATTATTTAACAAATATAATGGCTACTTCACACTACTTGTGAAATCAGGCTGATATTAAATAATTGAACACTAACAAAACAATACTTGTTTTTCTGTATCATACCATGTAAGTAGCTCCCTATTTTTGTTACATCAAGTCACAAATAAGCCCTTACAAGCAGACCACTTACACTCAGAACTGTTTCTATTTTGATACTTACTCTTTTAGGTTATCGTAGGCTTCTTCCAGGCTTGCCTTCTCCTTACTAATACTTAATAACTGTGCTTCCCTCTTCTCCAGCTTCTCAGTCAACAAATCAATCATCTGAATAAAATTTGAGATGGACAGATCAAAAACAGTTAAACCCTGGAAACAGCATGGGTTTTTTTCTAACTATATTTGAGGTTGGAATTCTTTGACTCTTATTAACTTTTATTTTAAAATCAATGAAGAATGGCAAACCGGATGGAAAGCTTTTACATCTAATGACACCAGAAGTAAAGCCTGGACCTTTTGAATCTAAGTTTTCCAGACTTAAAGGGAATTCCTGGCTCATCTACTGTTCCCATTAAATTCAATAGCAGTTTAATGGTACTTCTGCCAGAATAAAGAATACTAAATACATGCTTTACATAATCTCAACTATTTTTCTATTTGATTATTATGTCAGATATACTTGCAGATGACAGACCTGACAACTCACTTTTAAATCTTTTTTTGTTTCTAAGGAAAAAAAGAGAGATACTTTTTACCTTATGCTCCTCTGCTTTTATCCTTGTCCCTGCCCTCTAGACAGACCTGGGCTGGGAGCAAAGCTTTGGCTCTGCGAGCAGGGAATATGGACAAGAGTGATATGGCTGAGGCTGGGGCCATGACTGGGTGTGGGCACTGAGCACAGGGCTGCTACTGGAATCTGGGAATCTGCATGCCAAGTGCAGAGCCCAGAGTAAAATCTGGAGGTGCTAGAACACACACACCATAATTCCTGCACCAATAAGGAGAGATCTTAACAATTCAAGTAATGCTGAGGAATTGTGTAAAATAAGCTACTGTATAATGAAGAAAGTTTTCAGTATGATTTCTGATTAATCAAATGCGTTTCCCATTTCAGAAAACAAGTTAACACTAAATCTATATATTATCAAGCCAATATAGGTATATAAGCCTATGAAAATGTATTAAAATATTTTCAAGCTCATTCTACATAAAGTTTTACACAGCTTGCCCATCTGCAGAGTAGGCCAAGCAAGGCAAAGGAGTTAATGGAGACACTGTCTTAAGACTATACATAAGAAAGCATGGAGACAGAGTAGGAACGAACAGGGAAGAGACTGGAAAGAAAAGAGGAAGGAATTATTCAGCGCACACAACTTCCTGTATTCCCCACGCTTTTACCACACACAAAAAAAGTTATGGCTTTTGGGAGTAAGACACACCCTATATTTGGGAATATTTTGAAGAAATTCCCTCCCTGGGTTAAAAAGAAAAATTTATCAAGTGAAAGCACTGCAAGGAGAAGATGCAGGGCCTCAGTTGCAAGAATGAAACATAAGGAAAACTGCTTATTGGGAAAAATGATCTGGATATGTCTGAAGAACAACATGGATCAATTGGTTAGTAACTTAAATAATGCACGTTGCAATGCATCTTTCAAGACTCACTCTATACTCACTCATTTTAGTATAAATGTAAGGTAACAAGTACATTCCCAAGTTGTTTACTATGCTGGATGTTGATATGGAAGAAAGATTATCTTAGTTAATCCTTTTGGCTTGTTTAATTAGTTAACTAGATTTAGAATCTATCACCCAAGTGTATGGTACAGAAAGCTACAGTAAAATAAATCTAAAGTGTTCAGTTGCTACTGGGTGTCATTTTATTTTATATTACATAATGCCCCTTATTTTGGGGGCATCATGGCCACAGACTAGTCCGTTCCTTGTTTTACTTCAGCCTAACTTAGCTTTTTCAAGGAAACCCCATCCAAAGTATCTAACATTGGATTGAGGAGGAATGAAGTGGACATGCTGAGTATACTGAAATCTATTATCCAGACCCTTAAACAAAGTTCAGAGAAATTATTACATTGTTGATACAGTCAACATTTGGAAGGCGCTTCAAGAGACATTGATGAAAGAAAAACTTCACCAGAAAGTTAAGACTAGAGGCAATAAAGAAATGAATGGATCAAGAACTAACTCCACCTCATTTTTTTGCAAACATTCTCCACCAGATATGAAGGTAGATGCCTAATTTCTGAGCAAGATGCTGCAGCCAAGTCATGAGCATCTGAAAATCACTCCACATTAATGCCAGTTATAATAAATGTCATGGCTGGAGCAAAACCATCTATCAGTACATGTTTACTGATAAGGTTGTGAACGAAGTCAGACCCCTGATTTGGTGGAAATTATTAGCCAGGTACTTTGAAACAAAATTCCTTCAGTTGCCAAGTCAACTTTTTCACAGTACAGGCAGTCCCCGGGTTACATACAAGATAGGGACTGTAGGTTTGTTCTTAAGTTGAATTTGTATGTAAGTCGGAACTGGCGTCCAGATTCAGCCGCTGTTGAAACTGATCAGCGGCTGACTACAGGAAGCCCGAGGCAGAGCTGCTCTGCCCTGGGCTTCCTGGAATCAGCGCTGATCAGTTTCAACAGTGGCTGAATCTGGACGCCTGGGGCAGAGCAGCTGGGGCGCTGCTGGGTTGGTCCAGTAGCGCAGCTCACCCCGCTGCTCTACCCCATGCTGACACGTTACCAAACTGCCCG